TTCAGTAACACTAAGGATGTAATTTGGTACCAATCACAGGGAAAAAATGTGTGTTCTCTCCAGGAGCAGGTGGCGGTGACTGTCACTTGACAAGAGCTTTGGCCATTGTTGTGTTTACAAGACAAGAGGTTATAACATGCCCTCTGAGCAGCGCTACCTCTTCGGGGCAGATTGGAGGCTACAGTGAGTCGCTATCGAAAAGTGACGACACGAACCGCGGCTAGCTGGTTAGCGTGCTAACTTCAGTAGAAGAAAAGACGTGACACAGACAAGATGTAACACTGGCGTTGCTTTCTATTGGCAGCTCTTGGTGAGTAAAAGAATGAAGTTTGATTGGTGAGCAATGTTGTGACTAAGTTAACGACTGGTAAGTTAACAGCTGTTAATGCTATTGCTGGAAACTTAGAAGTAGCTCTTTTAAGGAACATCATTTCACTTGAGCCCTAACATTCACAGACACAGCAGGACAGACAGGACTGAATGATGTAGAGGTTTCTTTGAAGAAATAATTTCTTGGGCTTAAACGAAGATTTTCTTTCAGGGGCAATCATTTATTTTCCCTTTAATTACAACTAATTTATATACAAATTCTCTTTCCAGGAATCTTATTGTGAAATATTGTGAAATTATTTGAAAATTACAGATTGGTACAATAAAAAGTTAAAAAATGTTCTGTCCCTGATTACAGGCAGATAAAATGCAGCATTTAAAGCTATGCACATTTCCAACATCCTGAACAAGACTAGAAAACGCAAGCTTGTTCTGAGGGCAGATGAGCAGCACGGCCTCACGCTTTTCATTGATGAACTTATTTTGTAGCAGGCAGACTAGCTTGAATAGAGATGTTAACTTTGACAAGCTGTGACATGGAAGTTATCTGTGGGTGTGCAAGTGGGATGAGCAGAACACTGTATGTTATAAAACAAAACACAATGTAAACCATGGTTCTTTCAAGCCAAAGTGAATACAGTACAAACCATATTTAGCTTGTACTGTATTTGAATAGAGCTTGAATGAAAATAAATCTACATCCTCACATGCTCTATCATTCTGACAGTAAAGCATAACAGTGTAAGCTCTCCTGGGAATGTATCGCTCTGCCTGAGGTCATGATTTTCACTAAAGTTCAACCACGTAATGAGAAAGACATGAGCCGAGAGGATGAGTAACAGCTGCTTAGAGAAAGGTTTCAGATCCTAAACAACCTCTTACAATCGACTGCCAAACCCAAACCACTGAAGAAATATAGCCTGGAAAACAGGCTATGTTTAGAGATAGAAGACAGCTCCAAGCAGCGGACTCACTCACCAGAGGCTGGATGGTGTACGACACCCAGAGGGGCATGAGGCGGTCTTTGCTGTATCCATTGAGGTAGTCAGAGTGGTGCAGGAGACAAAAGTTGGCGCCTGCTTGGACGACCCGAGGGGTGCCGAAAGGATGGTGGAGGCGACGTAAGCTGACTTTAGCACCTAAAGGGGAAATGTATCACACAAAAGAACGTCACACAAAAGAAAAAAAAAAAAAACATTGTAAATGCAAACGAACAAACAAACCAGCAAACAAAAAGATACTGACTGGAACTGGTCGTTATGAGACGTCTGTACATATCCGTCTCCTGAAAAGAAACACACACTTCTTGTTAATAAAGTTTTAGGCAAAGAAGTACACACAGCCCCTGCTGCCTTTCTTCAAAAGGTTAATGCAATGTTGCTTCTTATTCATGAACCCCCACCTCCACACCTTTGGCAGATATCTAAGCTTAAAAAAAAAACAGACTTTCTCTTCTTTTCTCTCTTCCTGCAGATCACTTCAGGTTCCCATATATTTTTAGGCTGTCCTGCACACGCGGCATGTTTTAGATTTACCCACAGAGTTTCAATGATGTTCTTCCCTCCTAGCGCTGCTCCAAAAGCTTCAGCTTGTGTTGAGTAGTTCACGGTGGATTTTTGGAGGTTTGCTGTTGCAGAAGCCAGACCTTTTTCAGTTTCACTTTCTTCACAGACTGCAGGACATTTGCATCCAGAATCTGCTGATATTTTCTGGAACCCATTCTTCCCTCCCTCTGTGCAATGTTTCCCAGCTGCCACACCACCCCAAAGCTGAATATTTCCACACTCAAGCTTTAACAGTTGGCAAATGACTCTGGCTTATCCAGATGTTGCTCTGCAGACTTCGGATGTTGACTTTTATGATGAGGTTGCAGGTACGGTTTCCTTCTGATGACTCTTCATGGAAATCCATTCAAAAATTGTTGAGACATTTAAACTCCGCAAACCACAAGTGTTAACCTCTTGAAGTCTCAAGGAAATGACCAAAGTTATTAGAGCTCATCCAGTGGGCACCGAGAATGACACTGATCAACGGACACTGACATCCCTAGGCCTGCAACGCTGTTATGGTTAAAAACAAACACATGACCTCAATAGCTTGTTAGCACATACCGCTGCCTTGCTTTGGGACGTACAGGTGCACTGCAGGTCGTCAGTGGGGACGGGGTCACTGGCCTCACAGGGGGTTTCATGGGAGAGCTGCGCTGGGTGAACTGGAGGGTGGACTGGATGCTGCAGGAGGTGGTTCAGACTGCCGTGAGTCCCGTTGTTTGGAGCGGGACGGATACCGAGGAGATCTGGAGGAAGAAGAGAGATTAAAAAAAAGAGGGCATAAATTTCAGAAACTACGAGGGACGGTAGTACAACCTGTCTTACAACGTTTTACAACCTTTCATTGTAGATTTCTGTCAGTTACAACGCTGTTTTATTCACTGGCCTCATCACACAGATACAGAGGTGCAGTTAGGAAAAAGGGAAGGAACAGGCTCAACTGGTGGGCTTTATATCAAGTGTCTTGAAATCCTTTAAGAATCTTTGAGGCGAGCACTCACTCATTTCCTTCTTACGTTTTTCTTTTTTAGTAAATCATTAGTGACAGTTCACTGCACACACACACACACACACACACACACACACACTCTCGTAACATGCTGATGCTTATTTTGCGAGTTTCAATGCAGTTTACTTTTCTTAAATCTGGTTGATATGGCGACCATTTTTTGCTGCAGGCAACAAATGGAAATTTAGTGCAGTTCTGTTCAGCTTTCATGACTGAGAGGAAGACGATGACTAAAACTAGAATTGTGAACAGCAATAGATCTGTTGCTATACACCGTTTTCTGTGTTGCTGGAAAAAAACAAACAGTTTAATTAAACATTCAGTTTCAACTAGAGTCAGAGTCAACTAATACTCTAACAAAGCAACTTACCACACATGACGTTATAAAGTTCAATGTTTTCAAAAGGCGGCACAACAGTTTTGTTTTTAAATCCTGGACCATAGCCGATGAAGATTGCCTGGGAAAATCAAATACACATTAATATACTGACACTCATTTGTGTTTCTGGAGTATTCAAACAACATTGCACAACTTGAAACCTTCATTTAAACTGTAAATAACAAGACGTCAAACACTCAATACCATGATTAGGCCATGTGTAAATATTTGAAGTGAACTAAAGCAGTAAAATGACCCCACGTAACCTTGAAGTTAAGGATTTATATTCTGGGAAAAGTCACTGGTTAGGTGGGACCTGGAGATATTTGCAGGTGTGTAAACTGTCTATTTCAAGCACACTTTGCCTTTCTCCTCTGCTGTTTGTAAAGCAGGCTGATAGCAGTTGGCTTTTCTTGACTCACAGACATTTTTTTTTTTTTACGCCGGCAACCTTGTCAGTTAATTATACCAAGTCAAAGTCCAGTGTGAACCACATCCATAAACATACACAGAAATATTGTAATGACTAACATGAAGGTGGCAGACAGAAACACACAAGCAAACTCAGTCCAAGGCTGAGATTTTGTAGATGTAGACCAACTTAGCACAAGTGTAATTACTGTACTTGGGCAATGTTTTAAAACTAACACAGTATTTAGCTTATTTGAGTAATTTAGATGTGTTGCTCTTATGGTTTCATTTGCAGAACTTAAACAGCAAACACAGAAACTCTTCCCTCAGACTCAGACATTCATTCCTAAATCTAGAGACAAGACCAATCAGCTTATTTTGACACAGATTTTGAAGCTTTCATAAAATTTTACTGCTGCTTCCACAATCTTGTATAAGAGTCAAAGATAAGATATAATCTTAATGAAATCTATAAACTGAGGATTTGTATAGAAAAATGTGAAGAAAATAAAATCTATATAAAATAAACAAAATCTTGTAATGAATAAGATCTTGCATAAAAAAACGAGCAAAACTTTGTCTCAGTGTTTGGCATGTAGTTTTGCCTGATCTGACCAAAGTATAACTGAATCAAAAATCTTTGTTCTTGAGTAAAATATTTTCTTTTTTTCTCTGCCCTCTGTCTGATGGTGTCTTATTTAAGAAGATGATTTGCTTTAAGGTCATTCTGAAGTTTAAGCTGCAACAACATCCTAAACATTAAAGAGTAAAACTGACTTGAATCCGTGGTACAATTCAAATGAAACTAAGTGAATAATAAGTGCTCTTCTTCGTTCCTCAGCTAGCATGAAGCTGACCGTGAGCAAATCCCTTAACCCCACGCGGAGCCTCTGAACGTAGCGGTCGGCAGTAGAGACCTGCTGTTGAGCCTGTGAGCTAAGATATATGAATGACTGCAGTGGTGGGGATGTAAAGGAGAAGGCACTAAATGTACTCACAGACCTTCTCTACATGGAAGCATATCAGTGATTTCACTTTACAAGAATTGAACTTTAACTGAATTTTTGAATAGAATTGAATTTGAATTGAATTTTTGGGACTGGGAGAACGATTCCCCTTTTTTTTTTTCCTTTTTTTGATAGAAAACCTACTGTATGTGCAGCTGCTACAACGTAATCACGCCTTGGGGACTGGCTTACACAACTGGTTCAGAGTTTTCTCCAATATTTGCTTTGTTCTTGTGAAATCCTGGACAGTTCTGCCTCTTCAGCCCGAATTCAAACTAAACAACCCAGAAAAGGAAAATCACAAACAAACCTGTGATGGGGGTGGGGCTGAGTGTGGCAAGTACATTTTGCTTGCCCAAATCAATCACAGGACTCTGGACAGCTGCTTTTCTGATCGGCTGATCAGAAAATGACAGGAGGTAGTTTAGACTGAGGACTACGACTCAACTTGAGGCTGGAAGGTAACACTTTCTTATTGCTTGTATCAGTTATTAATCAATCAATAAAAATATCACAAGTCTTTTTAGGTAACTGATTTATCTGGAAGACCCTCCAGTGGTCTGCTCCGCACTTACTGTTTGGAAGCTAATTAACAATCATTCACAATGTTTTATCAGTTTGAAAATTTAGAAGCGAAGGCTGCCAACGACAGAGTGAGCATTCGTCCAATCAGCTGCCTGAAGGGTTAATCACCATGTAGCCTATTTGAAGTGACATACTGTAAGTCCCACGTAAATGCCTATTGAGCTTTGTCAGACTATAAATGTTTTTTCTGACAGTACTCTTTTTTTTTTTTCCTAAACAGGATACGGTAAAAAGCATTTACTGTTGCCTACAAACACACACATCCTTCCTTTCTCTGACCTGCATGTTGGTGAAGATGTTGAGCCGTGGAATCCCCCTAAACATTTATCTCGATGGAGGATGGCTTATGATGCTTTTTTGCCTTTTTTTTTTTTTTTCCGAACCAGGATATAGTGAAAACGCTTATCATTGCTAACAAACACACACACATCCTTCCTTCCTCTGACCTGCATGTTGGTGAAGACGTTATCTGAGCCGTGAAATCCACCCGTGCAGTACTTGATCTCCCTTCGGTTACTGAGGAAATAAAAATATTTTAGCTGAGGAATCAAAATAAACATAGAGACAAAAAGATGAAGGATGAAAGGTAAAGGAAGCACCACTGTGATAGTTATTGACATGTTTTTCTATCTTATTTTGAATTCTTAACGTTCATCCCAAATTATAATGTCAATTTCAGGGTCAGGCACAGTAACCTGCAGTAAACACGAGTTGTAAGACTGTACAGCTACATTCTATTGTTGATTGCATCTGTTACTTGATGGGCTAAATTGTTCAGTTTGAAGCAATTTTCCTGCAGTTTGAGAAACACGTTCAGTTGCTTTCTTTGCAAGATCAACAACGCCATCACATCTGTACGCTAAATAAGAAGCTATAGCCAGAAGTCAAGATCAGCTTAGCACAAAGATTGTAAGATATGCTAATTACATGCTAGCTGTAGCTTCATATTGAGCACACAATGGTATCGATCTTCTCAATGCTCTCAACCAAAAAATTTCAAACTATTCTTTAAATTCAAATCAATTCAATTAAAGAATACAAAACAAACCAGCTATATTGACATATGGTTATTACAAAGCATTACTGGGAAATAGAGGATATGGTTAATACAGTAGCCAAAACATGGAGAGCTGCTGAGGTTATTTTCAACTTTCCATGCAATTACAGAGCTTGTTTTACTTGCCCATCCCTGCCCAAACATCCTCCATTCGATTATCAAGTATAACATTTGTTTTTGGAAATAAGTGAGTACTACAATAACATAGCTTATTATGTTGGCTGTCGGCTTACTGATCCACAGTGTTGTCTTTTGGCTGACTGTTTTCTGGGTGATCAAATAAAAATATAGCAGATTTCAGGTAAACGCTCAAAAAAAAACAAATCCTGCAAAGTTGAATGGTGGGTCAAATTGGGCCGTGCTAGGGCAGTGACTGTATAGTTGTGACATCACAAAGTTACAGAAGTCCTGATGACTAATTTTATAGCTCAGTCTCTGAATACCGGCTGTGTGTTTTTCCATGGACTGAGCATTTCAATACTTTACTATATTAATATAGAACCTAGACCTGCTTTATCAAAAAAAGCCATGGAAGTTTCACTTTATATAATATGGGACCTTTAAGAGGCTTACAACAATACAAATCCCTGACTCTATTGCATTTAACAAGTTGCCCTCACTTCCATTCTTGCCACTGCTGTGTTAACACAGAGGTGACATAAAGGATAATCCCAGTTTATCACAGCTTTGTCCTTATTTTTGAAGTTATGGATTTGATTTCTATCAGGTATCAAGTTACCTTTGTTTTCTTTTCCAAATGAATTTGGCTCAGGCAGGGTTTGTTATAAAGAAGTGATGTTACTACACTGTTGGATCTCAGCACTTCTTTTGGTAAATTTGATTTCTCACTACCAATAGGAATGATGGCAAAACTACACAAACACACTGTTTAAACCTGCAGCTGCAATGAACCAGAATTATGGTTTAAAAAAGAAGTAAACTGGTCCTTCACTTACAGTGCTGCCTGCCAGCCCAGCTTCATGTAGAGATGTCCTCTCTCTATGCGTTTGTTGCTGGCAAAGTGCATCCTTTTGGGGAGGTTTTCTTTGAGGTACGGCCTCATTGGCTGGTTAGGGGCCCTGCACTTCAGAACAGACACAGAAGAGGAGAATCAACACACCGCAGAGCGAGGAATGGGGTTGTTTGATGTGAAGCTAAGTAGGCAGATAATTTTTCATTCTTCTTATCAATACAAGAGTCGCATTTCGAATACTTCGCATACCGACAGGTTCTTCACCAGGCCATCGTAGTCGACTGAGGAAAGAAACACAGGACGGGATTAGCCACGCTGGTTACAAACAAACTGACACTGAGTGATGCTGCATCTTCTGGGAGGGCTGGGTGTTAACAACAGGAACTCACAGGAGAAGAAATCCTCTGGGAGGCGAGCGGGTCTGATGCGAGCTGCTGGGCCTTGGATGACAGTGAAGGCGTCAGTCTTTTCCTGGTAGGTGTCCACATACGCTGCCTTTTCACAGGAAGCCTCCTCCATGCCTGTTAAACAAGAAAATATTCATTTGTCCATTGTTTATTTTCATAAATGGAGAGAATTTGTATTTGAATTTGAAAATGTGATAGCATGAAAAAATGTGGAGTTTGTGCACCATTAGTGATGATGATTAGTGACCATGACTCTTTGTGAATGATTTTTCATGTCTTTGTTCCATGGTGATGTTGCTTAACTTCTTTCCCTGAAGCGTTATAAAGGTTAATCTTCTTAGAAATGCGCCTGAAGATGTGAGCACTTATGCTTTCATATCCACTTTCCCAACCCTTGAAATTTACATCACATGTAAAGCTAGAGTTGTACAATTATATTTAGTGTAACATTTTTCTTCATTGCCTTGTGTGTGACATGAACTCTGATGAATCCTCCTTTCAGCTGCAGACAAATAACTGGCATAGAACGTCAAAATCTCGTCCTGGAAATGATGATGATGATGTCTTTGATGAGGAGAACTGGGCCACTCCCATTTTCTCCCCTGCCTTGATCTTAAATATAGCAAATTACAAGCCTAAACATCGGGTCTCCAGATGTCCATCGGGTCTACAGAAGCCTCTGCACAAAATGTCCTCTTAACACACAACTGAGAACAGTTTTTTTTCCCCCACCAATTTACTTCCTGATAACAGACTCGTTTTTTCATCAGATTACGCTCTGGCATGGTCCGGCAGTTTCCCCTGCAACAGGTGCAGTGACTCAACCAAGTTAAACATTTGAAGCTGACACTAAGCCTACAAAGTCCCCTCAGCAGCTCCAAAACGATGCTGTGTCTTGCTCGTGTGATACTACAGAGATTTAGGAAGGAGACACCATGTTTGTTCTTAAGCCAATAAACAGCTTTTAATGGAATCCAAAGAAAGGAGAAAAATAATACTCTTTGTATTGCTTAAAAGTCAAAATTTCTTTTTAATTCTACTGTTTAAAGTTGTGTAAACTGTTATTATTGATTATTTGGCTCATTTCTATTGTAAAATCTACTGTAGACTGTATCACAGTCTGTGTGTGTGGTTGTCTCACCGTGGTCAGATACGATCATCAGGTTGACACAGTGGTGCAGGTTTCTCTCTGTCAGGCCATCCATCAGCTTGCCCAGAATCTTGTCCACGTTCTCCAAGGCCCAAACAACCTGACACAACACAACAGCAGTTAAAGTTAATGTGTCACTGCGGCACGAAAACAATGTTCATGAATACTGTACATCTATCATGTAAGAACACCTTGCTTCAGCAAAGAAATAATTAGTAAAATAATGTGAACTAGAATGGCTTTGTCAGCACTGATGTTGTTAAACAGCCTTTGCTTTAAAATGAAAAAAAAAACTGTTATTTATTACAAAATGCTCAAACTGCCACTCAATATCAACTGTAATCATTACATTACAGAGATTATCCATTTGTGTCATATTTTTAAGATCAACTTCTCTCAAATTTGAAGATTTCCAACTTTCTTTTCTTTGTCTTGTTTGACAGTAAACTGAAGATCTTTGTGTTTCGTTACTGGTGGACAAACTAAAAAAAGCAATCTGAAGATGTCACCTCCCAAATTAAAACAGTCCAACCTACCGAAAGTAATCAAAAGAATAGTCAATAATGAAAATCATATTTAGCTGCAGCCCTAGTCATATATCGCACAGCTCCATAAGCAGAATTTCACTTTGATATAACAATCCTAACTCAAGAGTCTTGACTTAACTAGACCCTCACTTGTTCTGTCTGCTCTTGTGCTCTTTTAGGTAATGAACAATTTGACACTATTAATTTAGCTTATGTATGCTACTAGCTTACAGTTTCAGGTTTACTGTTCAGCCAGTGACTAACCTGTTTGCTTCCTGGTCCGTAACGATGTCCTGATGAGTCAGGTTCATCCAGGTACAAAGTGTAGAAGTCGGGTCTAAAATCACAGAGGGAACAGTTGAGTGTGATGTTCAGTACTTTTTGATGGTGACTCACAACATGTTCTTTTGAATGATAAAACATTATAATTAAAAAAAAAAAACTGTAATACCTTTCTCCCTGAGGTAAACTGAGCCATTCAAACACCTTCGACACTCTGTTCTCAAATAAAATGTTCCTGTGAAACAAAAACAAGCACCATGTGAGTTACACCACCGTATTATGCCATAAAAATTCTCGTCATGAATTTAAAAGTATGTAACGTAACGGCATCGTTCTTACTTGTCATACATCATGTAGAAATTAGGGTAGGTGCCATTGATTTTTACGTCTGAGCCCGGCCAGAAAAAGGTTCCTGTTTTCAGTTTGTGACGCATGGCAGTGATCCAGATCTGAGGAGAGGAGAGGAGAGGAGAGAAAGGAGAGAAAGGAAAGAAAAGGAAAGGGAAGGGAAAGAAAAGCAAGATTAGGAAAATGAAATGGTAGAAAAGGGAAGGGAAGGAGGTGAGAGTGTCATCTTTCAGCTCATGATTAATTCAGGCAGAGTAAACTGTAGCAGAGTAATAGCTCACTCATTTGCCACAGCGTTTAGTCCATTAGTAGAAAAGTGTGATCCATCACAGCCGAGTCAAGTCTGATGGAAATCTAACTGCTTATTTTTATGTGAAGTCGATACCTATTAAACCGATCAGATGTGTTTTATTTATGCAGCAGGCATACAAGCATATTTTGGTAGATGCACTTAGTTGTATTGGATGAAATGTCATTACGAAGGAATTACATTTCTGCAGAATAAATCACTCAGTCGGCATCATCTATTTCTCCTTCCCTCATAGACCGCTGCATGGTGTATTTTCAAGAGGAGCAGTCTGTCACGAAGTTGAAGAATGACATTTTAGAGGCCTCCCATTTAGACGGAAACCACAAAGCGTCTAAACAAGCACGACCTCGCAGCCCTCACAAGCTGTCAATTGCAACACAAGCACAATCCATAATTATATCAAGAAGCTCATTACGGGGAGATATTTCTTACACAGGATCAGGGTGTGTTAACTTTTACAAGCTGAAAGTGGCTCCGACTCTCAGATGTGTGGGGAAAAATGTTATGAAATGATTTCTCTGAACTGTCCCGCTGTGGCCCTCCTCAACGACGACTGCATTCTGCCGACACGATCCAAAGTGTTTTTATTAGGTCTTGATTTTGGGGCGTTGTATCTTTACAAGATTAATTCTTGCTCAACAGCAATAACAATGTTGTCGTTGCACAGATTCACTTACTGGCTCTCCTTGGTACCATTTTTCGTTGAATTTCTCATCAGTTTTCAAGCTGAAGAGAGCGTTTCGGGTCACATCGTACATCTTGTTGTCCACAATGCCGTGAGACTCGGGATAAAGACCCTGTAGGAATCAAGAGGTAAAACAAACACACGGTCGAGGTGAGATGCTTTGGTGCGAGGCTGCAGGGATTTACAGTGCTTACCTCCTCTCTTCGATCTTCCTAGCCTAAATATTACTGGTAACCATAACAGTTTATTTTAATTGCAGGGTCTGTTTTCAACCAACAGAAGGGAAATCCACTTTGTAAGCCCCCACCCTCCCCTCCTCCCCCAGTTCTGATGTGGTTCAATTCACAAGCACATGTAAGTGATTAGGCCTCAATGAAGAGACACTGGCTTCACAATCACATGGAAAAGCCTCCACATGTAGAAGTTCACCAGTGAACTGTCGTCTGATAACAGCAGTGGTGGAAAGAAGTAATTACATTTACACAGTAAAATATTTTTTTGACGTGTTTTTACTTGAATATTGTATTTGTAACTTCACCGTATGTATTTCACAGCTTTGGTTAATAGTAAACTTTTTAGGGTAGTTTGAAAAAAAAAACCAAACATATTATTAGAAATATACATTTGCTTCACAGAACTTTGTTTTTCTTCTCTCTCACCTTGTTAAAGCTCTAAAATGTGACTTTTGCACATTAAAATGTCAAAAGACAAGCCCTGTGTTATATATTTTGTATTTACATTATTCCATATGTTTCCATTAATTTTCAAACCTAGAGAAATCCTTCATTTTAATCATTGTAACGGTCTTTTTTCATTTGGTCAGCTGTCAGTGGCGTCATATCCCCTTCGTGCACGCCTCGGTCAGTCATGCCAGTTTTAAGCCACATTCTTGTGATACACTTTTTAGATCTTAGTCATTTCTGACGCTATATTTTAACTGGATGAAGGATTTTAGTCATGAGACGTCTGGATCACAAGTCAGAGAAACAAGCTGAGCAAACTTTGGCAGGAACTTGGCTCCCAGGCCCTACACGACCTGATTTATTTGTTCTGGAGAGGAGGAGACCTCTGATAATACAGCTCCTGGTAAAAACCCCCTGAACGACACTGAAGGAATCCTCGCTGGGAGTTTCTGACTGCAATGATGGCAACAGTGGTGAAGACAACAACTGCCACCGTATGTCCTGACGTCACTTACTCCGTATTTTGTTATTGTTTTGTTTTTGAGAGTGTCCTTAACAGCAGAAGTGACATATTAAGCATTTAATAATCTCACTCAGATTTATTTTGTGGTTCTTTGGAGGGAGCCAAAGCTCAAGATTAAAAACAAAGTAGGACTAATTTCAGAGTATTTAGCAGCAGCTCCATGAAAGATTTTCCTTCTTAACTTTTCAGATGGCTTCTACAGAGAAAAAAAAATCATCCAATATTTCACAAAAAGGAGATTAGATTTGAGTCCGAAAATTAATACAAATTTGTCAAACAGAACTTTGTTTTGTCATCTCACATTTATCTCGTGACCCTCTGAGGGGGCCTGAGCCCCAACATGGGAATCAATGGACAAATCTACTCAACTGTATATAAAGAAGTTAAAATTAGCTCCAACTCAACCAACTCCAACAGT